GCCCTCCTGCAGCGTCAGGGTGGGCTGCTCTCAGCCCTAACCCCACCCTGGCCTGAGTCCTGAGGCTGGAAGGGGCTCACCAGGTGGCCGTGGGGAGAAACTGGGAGTTTGGGATCCAGCCTGGCCCCTGTTGCCCTTGAAGAAGAGGTCACAGCCATGGTCGTTGCTGAGAGTGGGACCTAGAGCCAGGGCGGGGTCACAGGCACCCCTCCACTCATGGCTTCATGCCATGAACAAAACTGTACTCAGTCCCACTGCACGCAGGAGGCTGTCCCGCATGGACCGCAGACAAGGTTGTAACGCAAGCCTGACTTCCGAGGTGCTCACAGCCCAGCCCCACCCTGCCCCTCGCTTTGCACATTCGCTGACTCCCGGGCACATATCAGGCTTCAATGCCACTTGACTTGAAGCTGACAATTTAGCCAGGAGGTAAGGTGCACAGACGACGAGTGAAGGGCCGACCTCTCGAGCCAGAGCAGGAGGCCGCTCAAATCGAGATGGTCCTGACCGAGTCCAGACGCGGGTCTTGCCAGTGTTATGAGGTAAGTGGGCAACATGACCCTGGCAATGATGGGAAGGGCCAGGTCCAGAAGGGGTGACGCTGAGAGGGCCTGGGCGAATTCCTTGGTCAACCCCGCAGCATCTCCTACATGTGGGTGGGGTCAGGGGGTCACTTTAGTTCCTTCTTAGGGGTCTTTGAACGAGCTCCCTACCTCAGGGGGAAAGGTGTCTGAGCAAACCCAGAGAGGCCTCCAGCACCCTTTCCCCTCCTGGCTCCTCCTCGGAGGGATGGGGGTGGGGTGGGCAGGCACTGTCCTTGGTTCTGCCTGTCCCTGATTCTGTGGCCCCGGAGCTGAGCCCTCGAGGAGACGGGAGGCCACCGGCTGGCAGGGTGTGGGATGCTCAGGTTCCTTCCTACCCACAGGGCCTTGCCCTGTTCCTGCTGGCCCGGTGCCTCTCTCCTTAGCCACCCGGGCCTCTGCTCGCCTCTCTCTTCACAGCCCCTTCCATGCTGCCAGGTGAAGCCTGGAGCTGACGGTGGAATCCCACCCCCAGGTCCTCCCCTCCCTCCCCAGCGCCCATTAGTCCCGGCCAGGGGGCGCGGCTGCAAGCCTCTGCCAGGCCCAGCCCCCGACGCACCTGTTCTGACCTGCTGAGCAGGTTCCCAGTTTCTGCCGTAGCTGTTGGCCACGGCGTGGGAAGCAGCTCTGGGGGAGCTCGGAGCTCCCATCACGGCTTCTGGGGGGGCAGCTGCCGCTGGGTGCAGAACGGGGCCAGGTCCCCTAGCAGGAGCTCCAGGGGGACGGGCAGGTGCGCCAGGGCCCGAGGACCTGTGACCCTCCTGCCTCCGGGGTCGGTGCCCTCTCCAGCCCTAGAGCTGGCGCCCAGGGAGAGCCCGGTGGCACTTCAGGAACGCGGGGCAGCTCTGCGTGGGACCAATGCCCCTGGCCCTGGGAGCCGACATGCAGGGGCCTGAGGCCTGGCTGCTGCTGCTGCTGCTCCTGGCGTCACTTGCAGGTAGGCCTCCCGGAGCCCACAGGACCCTCGCTTCTGAGCCACCAGTGCCCCCCCCCCCCCCCCCCCCG